AGAGGATCAGTGCAACCGATGGTTTCAGTGGACTCGGGTAATTTTTGTTTCTAGCCCGGGTGTACGTGCTCGTGCTCCCCACATTAAACCGACTTTGTCTCACAACCTGACCTCATCGGTGGTTGGTTGCATCTCTGTCTTGGGCATTGTGCCCTCAGGGTCGGCTCCGTCGAAGGACAAAATTCACAACTGAGGAAAATTATACTGAGAAGTCCTGGGGAACAGCTGCTCGTGTCTGCGCCCTCTCATCGCACTAGGGTGCTCGTACCGAGGCCAGCGCAACCGACGGTTTCGAGGGGCTCGGGCAATTTTTTTTCCTAGCCTCGGTGAAGAAAATGCCAAAATGTACAGCTGCGGCTTTTTAATTTCAGAATTCGTGGAAGAATTGATCTCCAATTTCGCATTTATACATTTTGTTTCCCTAATGTAGGTTTTACTTAATTGGCTATCACGTTTCTCTAACTCTTCAAATGTTGAATGTATAACTAATTCTAATTTCAATTTTCACATCTTTACACTATATTAATTTTATCTCATAAATTATCCCCTGTTCTATCACCCATGAAATATCAAATAATTCTTTTACGTAAAATAAGGACCTACGTACATCAAATCGCCTTTAAATTAAGTGGCAGCAAAAGAATTATCGTTGAACTTTTAAAGGGTAAGCTTAAGCATTAATTCAATACTGAAATGCAGCGATCAATTTTGAGTTCTTTAGTTTATTGATGTCTATCGTATCTACTCCTTTTTGGGTTATTGTGATGATCGCCAAGTGTCTTTCACAGAAGCTAGCTTAAATGCCGCCCGATAGGGCCGCTTTTAAGCTAGCTTAAAATTTTAGTTAGATGCAATTTTGGATACAAAAGGAAAATAAGAGTTTTTCCCCTTGAGCCTAACTTTTCTAGGGCTTTTGAATGAGCTATGTATCATAGAAATCGGACCAGTGGGAGCGGCGGAGTTGCTTGGACACACACACGCACAAGCACACATACACTGTAATTTATATATAAGATTTCTAGTCATATCTATCTATCTATCTATCTATCTATCTATCTATCTATCTATCTATTTCAGTCTCTCTCCGCCTATCTCTGTTCATATCTATCTATCTATCTATCTATCTATCTATCTATCTATCTTAGTATATTCTCATCTTATCTATCTATCTATCTATATATCTATCTATCTTAGTCTGTTTATATCTATCTATCTATCTATCTATCTCAATCTGGTCATATCTATCTATCTATCTATCCCTGTCTCTTCGTTCTCTCTCTCTCTCTCCCCTTCTGTCTCTGTCTGTCTGTCTCTCTCTCTCTCTCCACACACACACACACACACACACACACACACATACATATATATATATATATATATAAAGGTAAAAGACAATAGGAAAACTTTATTATTAGCCGACGCGTTTTGTCCAATGTGGACTTCTTCAAGGCAAAAACAAAAATGAGTTTATTAAAACAAATTAACTATTAATAATAAAACAAAATGTCCTTAGCAACTGGAAGGATTTAGAAAACTCTATTATATTCATATTGTCAACTGAAAATTATGTCAAGTACTGTCACGTGTGGAAATACTGTTTTTATTTATGTGTTGATGGATTCAACCATTTTCTTTTGATTTCTTGATACAGTTCTGTACGTTTGTTTGGGACAGTAGTGATTCTGTTAGAGAAGGTGAAATAAGGAAAAAGCCTGGGCGTAGATTAATATTTGGATAACACAATTTCAGATCAAAAATTCGTCCAGAAATGCTATAAACTTTCAACATGTGAAGAAGAAGTATGCCAAACCCTGTCAAAAGCCTACGACATATCCAAAGCAACGGCACAAACTTCACGATTCTTATCTAAAGCTAGATAGACTCCTTCAGCAATAATCTTTAACACATCAGCAGCTGACCTAAAGAAACAAAAGCCATATTGCTTGTCTGAAAGAAGACCCTGTGATGTGAGATGCTTGATTAACTCAGCATTGATTAGGGCCTCTAGTAGTTTGCCAAAAAGAGGCAGAAGTTTCTGAAGATTCGAGAGATCTTAAAGACTGGAACTACAGAAGATTTCCAACCAGCAGGAAAGCAAGGAGTATTAATTGCAGAGTTTAGAGAAAATATAGAAAATTGAAACAACGAGAGTTGAAATTTCTAGGGTACAATGGATAAAGAAACTTGGAAAATTTGATGCTCACAGGTCAGATTGAAGTAGGACAGAGGAAAATAACGCATGACTCGCTAAATTGATAAAATGGATGTATCAGTTCTGTGTGTGCGGAAAAGCAAAACATTTTAAACATAGATATGAACGCATTGAGATAGATAATGAGAGAGAGAGAGAGAGAAGAGAGAGAGAGAGAGAGAGAAAGAGATGACAGGAGGTATGAACAAAATCAGATAGATAGATAGATAGATCTGTAGGTAGATAATGAACTGATGGTAACAGACCCATGCATTCTCTCTCTCTCACTGACACAGATATACTCACACATTCTCATACACACACACACACACACACACACACACACACACACACACACACACACTTATATATATATATATATATATATATATATATATGTGTGTGTGTGTGTGTGAAAATATATAGAAAATAGGAAGGAAACTGGTTGGGTAAATAATTCAAAAGTCCCTTAGTATTTTAGTTATTATTTTTAAAAAATAGTGCTCGATACAAAAGTAGAGCATAAATATAATTATTTATTTAAAAATATGATTCCAAATCGCGACATAAGAAGTCTCATGTTTCAAAACAAGAGCCGAAAACTTCAATATAATTATTTGAATTAAATTGAGTTAAAGTAAGCTCTGTTCCATCTTCAAGCGAAATTTTTTTTTGAAATAGCATATTTCTGAAATTTACGTGTTTTAAAAATTGAAATCAAAATTTATGTGTTTTAAAAATTGGAATCGTAAATTTCAGAAATACGTTATTCCAAAAAAACATGAGACTTCTTATGTCGTGATTTGGAATCATATTTTTAAATAAATATATATATATATATATATATATATATATATATATATATATATATATATACATATATATATATTGTTGTGGATTCAGGTTGAAATCCGGTACCAATAAATAACAATGAATGAATATATGAAAATAATGTATTAACGTAATAATACAAACTAGTAAAGCAGGTTAGTAGTTCCAGGAATACGGGTTAGTAGCAAAATATATATACAGTCTTTGGTATTGAAGTATCGCTGTATGACTTCTTACTGAGTCTACGTGCTCGCTCACTGTGACTCCTACAACACTGTTACCTCACCCTCACTCTTCCGGTTACCTACAACTTTTTACTCTGTCACTCTGGACTCGACTCGACTCTTCGGTCTTGCTCTCTCGGGTCTTCACGTAGCCGTAGTATATGTATAGACTGGGTGAGTCCATTTGTGTAAAAAGGGGAGAACCCCTCAACATATATATATATATATATATATATATATATATAGCTAATATTAGTGGTAAATATACACATACATATGAAAATATATAAATATATACATAGGTGCATACACATACATGTATATTTTGAATAAAAATTCAAAGAGTATAGAATCCAGGTAGAACTGGGCTTATATAATATATATATATATATATATATATATATATATATATAGTCTTAAGGTTTGCTATATTTATGGAATAAAGTGCTCAATATCTGAGATAGAGGCGTGTGTAAATATAAAAGTGAACATATATGCAAGTCAGACTCAAGAAGTTTCATCAACACTTAGAGGCGACAGTCTGTTTTCATGCTATATGCAATCGATCAGGACTAGATAGATGTTGATAGATTAGATGTGAGCAGACAGAGATTTTTATATATTTATATATATATATATATATATATATATATGGCAGATAGATAGATAGATAGATAGAGAGGATAGATATGAGAAGACAGATAGATAGATAGATAGATAGATAGATAGATAGATAGATAGATATGAGCAGACTGAGATAGATAGATAGATAGATATGAGCAGACTGAGATAGATAGATAGATAGATATTGGCAGACTGAGATAGATAGATAGATAGATAGATAGATAGATAGATATGAGCAGACTCAGATAGGTAGATAGATGGATGGGGAACAGACCCACCTTCTAACAAGATAATGGGTGGTCTGGATAGATAGATATATAACTCAGCTCTGAGAGAGAGGACAGAGCGTAGATAGAGAGAGAGATAGAGATGAGATAGACTGAGATAGATAGATAGATAGATAGATAGATAGATAGATAGAGACAGACTGAGAGGATAGATAGATAGATAGATAGATAGATAGATATGAGCAGACTGAGATAGATAGATGATATGATAGATAGATAGATAGATAGATAGAGAAATGAGATGGATAGATAGATAGATAGATAGATAGATAGATAGATAGAACAGACTGAGATAGATAGATAGATAGATAGATATGAACAGACTGATAGATAGATAGATAGATAGATAGATAGATAGATATGAGCAGACTGAGATAGATAGATAGATAGATAGATAGATAGATAGATAGATATGAACAGATAGATGGAGAGATAGATAGATAGATAGATAGATAGATGGATAGATGAGATGAGGACAGACTGAGATGGATAGATAGATGGATAGATGATAGATATGAGACTGAGATAGGAGATAGATAGATAGATAGATGAGCAGATAGATAGATATGAACAGACTGAGATAGATAGATAGATAGATAGATATGGATAGAGCAGACTGTAGAGATAGACTGAGATAGATAGATAGATATGAGCACTGAGATATGAGACAGATGGGATAGATAGATAGATAGATAGATAGATATGAGCAGACTGAGATAGATAGATAGATAGATAGATAGATAGATAGATAGATAGATAGATAGATATGAGCAGAATGAGATAGATAGATTGTAGATATGAACAGACTGAGATAGAGAGATAGATAGATGGATGGATGGATAG